CACATGTGTGTTTAAAGAGCCTCTGTCAGGATTAAAATATATCTTTACCCATTTTACTAAAAAACCCTCAGAGCCCAGCAAAACTAACTGTAAAAAGCCATTACGTCTTGCTACAGGATTAGGTTTTTGGGTTTTTTTTTTGGTCCCATGTTGCATTCTTTTCATCTTGGGAAAACGTGTACAATGAAAATAGGTTAGCTCCAATTTAATCAACAAATTCTAGGTGTTATGGGAAATGGACTTACAACAGGTTAGGACAGAGCTATAAAACCAGAGCAGTGCTGCAGCATAGAATTCAAGGTTTAGAATAAGCTGAGATAATTAAAATGAAATCAGATAGTGGGCTTATAATTATTTCTCATACATTTTCCAGCAGAAGATAATCTTGTAGCTTTGAACTTTTCTCAAATTCAGCCTGAGAGTGTTTGTTGCATTCTCTATCTCTATTTAAGTACTCATTTGAAGAGATAGTTAAAGGGAGTTGGTGTTTTCCAAAGTGGAGTTTCCCAACTAATATTTCCCTGGGAAGAACAAGTTTTTTTTTTGATTTTGTTAAATTCCAGCAGTACCTGTGTGTGGACAGAGTTTTGCAATTTAACAGGAAAAAAAAAAAAAAAAGAGAAAGCAGTGATAGATTTTTGTGACCTCCAGGAGTGTTTGGCAAAACCTCCAGGTCTCTAAGAAAAAAACAACAAAACAGTTACTCTCCCAGGTTTTCTGGATATTTTTTGAAGTTGAGGGGAAAAGCCTTCAAATTCAGTTTATAGCAGGAGTGTCCTTCAGCTGTTGATCCATCTGCTGTGCCAATGGTCCTGGGAATGTCTTGCCTGCAAACACTGAACTCCAATGCAGGTGGAACATTGTGGGCAAAATGGTCTTAAAAATGCTCCTGTGAGCATTCTTGGGTGTCGTTGTAGGAATTGAGAGGTGGTCACGTTGCTTCAGATCTTTCAGCTCCCAGGGAAGTCCAGGAGGACAGGGAATAGAAATCCTCAGCAGCTGAAGGGAGGAAGAGCTGGAAAAAGACGAGTGAAATCAGTTGTGTGTTAGTCGGATGTTAGGGGGAAATGATGCAAAAATGCGAAGCTCCCTGCAGAGTTATGCTGGGATAAACATTTCATGTTACAGGTGGTTTGGCTTTTTGTGGGTTGTTTTGGGGTTGTTTTTTTTTCAAAATTTTCCTCAACCTTTCTGTGGCCGTGGTTCTGCTATTCTGAAATTCCTCAAATTGTGGCAGAATCCTCATAGTGTCAGTCTCAGGGCAGTAAGGAACTTTTCCTGGTGAGAAATCCTGTTACAGGTTTGGAAATGGTTTTCCATTCCCAYGTAAGTGTAGATTAACTTTGATTCAAGGAATGGCATCATGGATCACATTTGCTTTTTCTTCTTTTTTTATTCCTTTGCAAAACTGGAACTCTCTTGAGCTCAACTRTACTTTTAGCCATGGAATGTGTCTCTGCTTCCTCCACTTAAAATAGATGTAACCCAATCATTGCACTGATGTTTGGGGTGGAAAGTGTTAATTATATGATTCTGCTGCCATGGAAACCCCATAAGAAAATCAGGATCTTTACATTAAGTGAAAAGTTTGCGTGGTTTYGTGTGAACATGACTTTAGATAGATGTCCTAAGAAAACTTGGGTAGATAAGTAAAATGTATAAAAGTGTATGATGTACACAGCATAATAATGATTCCTTTACTGAATAAGGCAGAAATACTACTTCAGAGGGAGGGGAAAAATTGTTCCCTGTGTATGCATACGTGGAAAACACAGACTGGAATTTCTTAGCTGCTCAGTGCTTAAATGTCTGATGTTGTTGCGCTTCCAGTGTGCGATGTTACCTCAGGATTATTAAAAAACTCTTTGAAAGACTCATTAAAAGGGAAGTGTTTATTTTTATCCCTCTATTTCCCTCAAGAATGGCTGTGGGGCATTAAGATACATTTGCAATCTCAGGCACTCAGATTCTGTTAACCTAAACTAGGGATAATAACCAGAGTTTGTTTGCTGTATTATTATTAATTATGTTGTTCATTAGTGTATATTTATGTAATATTCAGGTGTGGGTGCCCATGCCAGAGTCTTGAAATCCTATCTGGGAAGAGAATTTGTGCAACACCCTCTGTGCTTGCACTTTTCTCCTCTGATAAGGGCAGGGAAAGGGTCTCAAGAGCTCACAGAAATTCAGGCTCTCCACAGGGCAGGCTTGGTGAGCTTCATGAGTRTCACAAAATCATAGAATATTAAGGYTGGGAAAMACCTCCAAGGTCATCAAGCCCARCCTTCTTGCTGAGTCTCATTGAAGRGATTCTTTCATGGCCCTTCCTGAAGCAGGRTGTGCCCTTGTGCAGTGAAGGGTTTTATATATTGCTCATATATCAGAATTTTTCTAACTAAGTGATAAAACTCTATTAAAATATAAAATAATAATAA